TGAACCTTCAGTAACCCATGCTTGTCTTAAGAGGCGACTAACGGGATCGGGTGGTCAGGCTCGCTGGCTTGGTTGACACACGTCATCGGCTCCCACTTGCGCAGGTCGATGCTCATGCTGTTGACCACTGGATTGTCTGGTCCACACTCGATTATTTACAGATCGCCGCCATATAGCTGGAATATTGCTGAGTGCGGCGTAACACTAAACTCACTCACTCACTTACTTTTCTGATGCGTGGATGATAAAAAATAACAGGTTGATTTGGATCCAATTCTGTGCTTTGTACTTGATATTTAAGCATGTTATGTAATAATTAATGTCAACTGATGGTTCGTTTTCGTTCAGTCCTAACATTTCTAATCACTGGGAGATGGAGTTATACCTCAAAATGTTTGGAATTGGTTTAACAATAAGTTAGATAGACATATGTTGTATCTAATTTGGAAAACGACTGTAATGCATAAAGGGAATTGTTAAATGTCACAAAGATGACAAATCTATTTCAATAATGTTCCAGAGGCAACTATATATAATCTTTGCTGATCAATATAAGAGTAGGCCGATTTACATCTATTGCGTTTAAGGGGCGGTGGGGTAGCCTGGTGGTTAAGGGGTCCGATCGTCACGCCGAAGCCCGGGTTCGATTCCACATATGGGTACAATGTGTGAAGCCCATTTCTGGTGTCCCCCGCTGTCATATTCCTGGAATATTGCTAAAAGCGGCGAAAAACCATACTCACTCACTTATTGAGTTTACGGTCGGTGCAGCATATATTGCGAACCAGATATCTAGGATATCACTACGGTATCCAGGGGACAAAAACAATAGCAAGAGGAACTACCAGTCCCCGGGAATTGTCTTAGATCAGTTATGTTCAGTACCACACAGATAGGTTAATATGTTTCACCCTTTCCCTGTCTGGAGGTAATTCTTTCACCTTGAAGTCAGTTCACATATTCCTCGTGTGAGTTTGCTGACGTGCCTTAATGCCATTTTGCTGTATCTTTGTAAAATGGGGATGTAATTTTACAAATCTTTCTGATAAGTGAAACATTGTCTGTTTATTGTTGGGCCGACACATTGTGATTGAAACTAATAAGAAAGTAACTCTTGCTTGACAACGGTATAAGAATCCATACCGAAACGTCGCATCATATATAATAAAAGAAGTAAACATAAACAATCTTACTTTCTCATTAGTCACCAACTTCTAAATGCCAATCAAACTGATGATTGAAACTAGTCTTATAATAGAAGCTTACATGATAGGGAAGTTCTCTAGTAATGTAGAAAAAAAATCATTTAACTGTATTTTCGAAACAAAGTTTTAATAAATGTTTCATTATCAATATTCCCATTACGTCTGTTGTGTTGAAATCAGCCATGTTTGTGGTCAAGCGGAGGAAGTGGGGCAGTGATGTATACATGCGCATTGAAGCGGTCATAAAATCATACGCATACTCTTATTTGCTAAAAGTAAAGACAATGACATTACGGACAGGGACATCTGTAAGACCCACTGGCTGCTACATTCTATACATCATCTATTAAAATGGTTCTATTCGTGGGAATGTGTGGTGGTGAGGTGAAATTGGGTTTAACGTTGTGCTTGAGAATATTTCGCTCATATGACGACGTGCATGCGTGTGTATGTGTATGTGCGGCTGCTTGTACTAGCCCAGACTTAAGCTGGTTTTATAGTGCTAGCCCACTGAGATACCATGCCGCAGTGAAGCATGATTACCCCATTCAGACACATTATACTGACTCCGAGCCGGCCAGTCCTTGTTGTACCCTGTTGTATTAATGTCGAGCGCCAGGCAGGGACCAACAAGTACCATATTTCAACGTCTTTTGGTATGACGCGGTCGGGGATCGAACCCGCGACCTTTCGCTCTCCGGGCGGACGCTCTAACCACTACACCACGGAGGCGGTCCGAGGGAATGTGTACAATGAGTGAGTGAGTATGGTTTCACGTCGCGTTTAGCAACATTCCAGCAATATCACGTCGGGGGACACCAGAAATGGGCTTCACACACAGTACCCATGTGGGGAATCGAACCCGGATCTTCGGCATGACGAGGAACACTTAAACACTAGGCTACCACACCACCCCCGTAGTTATAGTAGAGCTTCGAGACCTTCCAGGAGGAAGCCCACTATCTTAAGGCTGCAAGGCCATCTGCAGCTCAAGACTACCACCGAAAGGACCTCAACACATTGCACTCTTGTTCAAAAGCTTGACGGGCGGTGGGGTAACCTAGTGGATAAAGTGTTCGCTCGGTGCGCCGAAGACCTGGGTTCGATTCCCCAAATGGGTACAATGTGTGAAGCCCATTTCTGGTGTCCCCCGCCGTGATATTGCTGGAATATTGCTAAAAGCGGCGTAAAACCAAACGGTCAGTGCAGCATCACCCTTTCCCTGTCTGTAGGTAATTCTTTCACCGTGAAGTCAGTTCACATATTCCTCGTGTGAGTTTGCTGACGTGCCTTAATGCCATTTTGCTGTATCTTTGTAAAATGGGGATGTAATTTTACAAATCTTTCTGATAAGTGAAACATTGTCTGTTGGGCCGACACATTGTGATTGAAACTAATAAGAAAGTAACTCTTGCTTGACAACGGTATAAGAATCCATACCGAAACGTCGCACCATATATAATAAAAGAAGTAAACATAAACAATCTTACTTTCTTATTAGTCACCAACTTCTAAATGCCAATCAAACTGATGATTGAAACTAGTCTTATAATAGAAGCTAACATGATAGGGAAATTCTCTAGTAATGTAGAAAAAATTTCATTTAACTGTATTTTCGAAACAAAGTTTTAATAAATGTTTCATTATCAATATTCCCATTACGTCTGTTGTGTTGAAATCAGCCATGTTTGTGGTCAAGCGGAGGAAGTGGGGCAGTGATGTATATATGCGCATTGAAGCGGTCATAAAATCATACGCTTACTCTTATTCGCTAAAAGTAAAGAAAATGACATTACGAACAGGGACATCTGGAAGACCCACTGGCTGCTACATTCTATACATCATCTAAATAGTTCTATTCGCGGGAATGTGTGGTGATGAGGTGAAATTGGGTTTAACGTCGTGCTTGAGAATATTTCGCTCATATGACGACGTGCATGCGTGTGTATGTGTATGTGCGGCTGCTTGTACTAGCCCAGACTTAAGCTGGTTTCATAGTGCTAGCCCACTGAGATACCATGCCGCAGTGAAGCATGATTACCCCACTCAGACACATTATACTGACTCCGAGCCGGCCAGTCCTTGTTGTACCCATTAATGTCGAGCGCCAGGCAGGGACCAACAAGTACCATATTTCAACGTCTTTTGGTATGACGCGGTCGGGGATCGAACCCGCGACCTTTCGCTTTCCGGGCGGACGGTCTAACCACTACACCACGGAGGCGGTCCGTAGGAATGTGTACAATGAGTGAGTGAGTATTGTTTCACGTCGCGTTTAGCAACATTCCAGCAATATCACGTAGGGGGACACCAGAAATGGGCTTCACACACAGTACCCATGTGGGGAATCGAACCCGGATCTTCGGCATGACGAGGAACACTTAAACACTAGGCTACCACACCACCCCGTAGTTATAGTAGAGCTTCGAGACCTTCCAGGAGGAAGCCCACTATCTTAAGGCTGCAAGACCATCTGCAGCTCAAGACTACCACCGAAAGGACCTCAACACATTGCACTCTTGTTCAAAAGCTTGACGGGCGGTGGGGTAGCCTAGTGGATAAAGTGTTCGCTCGTCACGCCGAAGACCTGGGTTCGATTCCCCAAATGGGTACAATGTGTGAAGCCCATTTCTGGTGTCCCCCGCCGTGATATTGCTGGAATATTGCTAAAAGCGGCGTAAAACCAAACTCACTTACACGCTCAAAAGCTTGACGTTTTCACCAACCATGGTCCTGGCCAACATCAAAGCATTCACTGCCATCAACGAGGAGGGCCTTACAACATCTGGCCATTGAGTTTTGTGTCCACTTTTCCCATCACCACTACACTACTGCCCAGTACCTTGACAACATTTTAAAAGCCTCTTGGAAAGACTGGCAAATCATTTGTGCCGGATTCGTCCGAATACAGCTACAAGATACATCAAATCCCACAAATCCCAAATCCCACACCTGGCGTCATCTATGACGTTGTCGACCAATTTACACCATCAAGAGGAACTCATCATCATTATAATCATCGGAACACATAAAGACAACCCCCTAAGAACTGGTACGTGTTAATTCCCAAGTTGAAACTGAATAGTTCACCGGGAATCAGTCCGTTCGAGGACTTGGAGTCAAACCAACAAATAACAAAGCTGTGTGCTGTAATTAACAAATGTATCTTGAAATCTAATACGTTTACAAATCAGTACAATGGTGTCAATGTGGTGGTGTTTTTTGTTGTTTTGAACGTTCCATGTACACAGTAAATGCATTGCAGCAGTATATTATAAGTTGTTCACTAGTCTCGATGGGGACATGGGTTGATGTACCCTCGATGTTTGTTTATGTTACCTGAGCCCGAAGGGCGAGGGGGACATAAAGAAACATCGAGGGTACATCAACCCATGGGCCCCGTAAACAACGTATTTATCTTACCGAACACCTCAATGGTAACTTTAAACTGTTTGAATCACGGGTATCGGTTCATAGTATGGAGTACCAGACGACAAGAAAATCAAATTCAGAGTTATCTCCCTTCCATCGATTCGCATTTACAAAACATCGCTTATTTCCGTACATCATACGTGACTCATTGTTATTCGAACTAAAGAATTACTACTCCATTTTGTGGAAGCCGCGGTGGCTGAGCGGTCAAGGCGTCTGACTTTGTGTGCTGGCGATTAGGTGCCTGACTCTGAGGGTGCGGGTTCGAATCCCGGATGGGACTCAACCCCAAAAGTACTACAATCTGTACTTCCAGAGGGATCCAGAGGGGTGCGCACCCCCCTTTTTGTGCTGAAAGTTTGTTAAATGACCATGAAAATCGGGTGAAAATGAAGTGTGCACCCATCCTTTTCTCAATAGTGTGTGCGCGCGCGCGCGCACACACACACACACACACACACACACACACTTTCTCAAAAATCTGTATCCGCCCTTCCCCGCTTTCAAGCGAGTAACATGCTCTATGTTACCCGCTGGAAATGCCGAACTGTGGGAATTCGTTTGGTACTTCGTGTTAGCAGTGTTTGGGTTGTTGCCTAACTCCGGTACTCCTATTACGATCCAATACCTGTGCTTCTAACAGTTCAAAATTACCATTGAGGTAAATAACAATACGTTGTTCCCTGGTCCCTCGGGGCCCATGGGTTGATGTACCCTCTATGTTTGTTTATGTTCCCTGATCCAGCGAGGGGAACATAAATATACATAGAATAGTACATCAATCGTGACTAGTGAACCTATTGTATGCATATGAAATAATACGATTCCGGTTTCCGCACTACAAATATGCGCAGAAACCATCTGAAAGCAATATTTCCACGTTATGATGTCTCATTTCGACTTCGCCCAGTCTGTAAGACATGTACTGAGACAATGTGAAACTGTGAAACGCATATTCAGTTTTCTTTATAAAAGTTACCAAAATGGTCATATAGATCTAAGTAGTTCTTCTGGGCGTTTCCGATCACAAATAATGTCGTCCCGCGGTTCAGTCTCAGTCACCCGTGAAAATCCGGGTTCGAACTGATCTTCAGCAACCCATGCTTGTCGTAGGAGGCGACTAACTGGATCGGGTATATAGTATCCCAGATGCGAAGATCGATGTTCATGCTGTTGATCACTGGATTTACAGACAGCCACCATATTGCATAAACATAAACTATAAACAATCAATATACTGACTGTAAATTCTGTTTGCCACACGATGACGTGCTCATGGTCCCTTTCACAAAGAATCGACAATTTTTGTAATTTAAACATAACACACATGAGTTCGACAATCATAGTGAAACATAATTATTTAAGTAGGTCCTGTGAGATGTAAAGCATATAACAATGGCTTTCATATGATGTTGGTAAATTGGAGGTTCGCCTAATCCACCTTGCAAAGTTCTGTTAAGCTCTTCTTCGAGACAGCTGTCTGCCTCTGTAACTACTTGAGAGACCATTCTCCAACTACTTGAGAGACCGTTCTGTAACTACTTGAGAGACCATTCTGTAACTACTTGAAAGAGCATTCTGTAACTACTTGAGAGACCATTCTGTAACTACTTGAGAGATCGTTCTGTAACTACTTGAGAGACCGTTCTGTAACTACTTGGGATAATCTTCTGTAACTACTTGAGAGACCGTTCTGTAACTACTTGAGAGACCGTTCTGTAACTACTTGAGAGACCGTTCTGTAACTACTTGAGAGACCGTTCTGTAAGTACTTGAGAGGCCGTTCTGTAACTACTTGAATGGCCTTTCTGTAACTACTTGAGAGACCGTTCTGTAAGTACTTGAGAGGCCGTTATGTAACTACTTGAGAGACCGTTCTGTAACTACTTGAGACAATCTTCTGTAACCCCAAGTTCAACCAGATGCTCCTGGACTCTTCTGAGATAGTTGCGATCAGGATAACCGTCATCCGTACTTGGGAACATGAAAAATAATACGCACCCGTTAACATGTGTCAGATCTGTAGCTATCTTTTAATGTTTTGACAAAGTTAGACAATACATAAAAAGGATGAATTAATAACTAGTGCTTTGATGATAACTTATTGAGTGAGTGAGTTTAGTTTTGCGCCGCCTTTAGTAATATTCCAGCAATATCACAGGGGGACACCAGAAATGGGCTTCACACTTTGGACCCTTTTGGGGAATTGAACCCGGGTCTTTAGCATGACGAGCGATCGCTTTAACCACTAGGCTACCCCATCGCCCTTGATGATAACTTAGACACCAGAAGGGTTTCGGGAGTCCAATAGATACCAAGATCAAGGTTTTTCTTCTGCGTGAGGCATCCACGTTGAACCCTAGCGCGGGTGCATTTCGTTACTACATGTTAAATTATTTTGAACATTCCACCTCTCCTCACCACACAGATTACCGTGTTAATCTAAAAAGAGGACTTTAGTGATTTTGTTTATAATTCGTGTCGGTATAAGACGATGGGTGAAGCCATTTACATGTACAGCTGGTTTCCTTGACTAAGACAAGAAACATACAGGCAACCGTGATAGGGCTGATACAATACAATATAATATGTATATATACAGTCACTCACTTCGGTGTTGAACCCGTGGTGATCCGGGTTAGGATTGGTCTTCACCAGCCCATGCTTGTCGTAAGAGGCGACTAACGGCATTTGGTGGTCGGGATTGGGTGGTCGGGCTCGCTGCCTTGGTTGACACATGTCATCGTATCCCAGTTGCGTAGATCGATGCTCATGCTGTTTATATCACTGGATTGTCTGGCCCAGACTCGACTATTTACAAACCTAACATATTGTTATATTTGGGATTACACTTTCTTTGTAAAGTACAGATTCTATACTTTTTGTTGGGATGAGTCCCATCCGGAATTCGAACCCACATCCTCATCGCCAGCACACAAAGTCAGACGCCTAGACCGCCCAGCCACCGCGGCTTCCACAAACATGGAAGTCGGACAACTGGTAGTCTTGACTGCGGGCTTTGTGTACCCCTCTGATAAGTGGTTTATTTACAAACCGCCGCCATATGGCTGAGTGCGGCGTAAAACAACAAACAACTTTTGTACTGATGACGCTTTAAATAAGCCTCTATGAGCTCATGAAAAAGGTACACTCAAAACAGACATAAGTACATTACTGGTTTTTATAAATGTGTGCACTGGAGTTTGGGATATTACTGCTCATACTACGGAAAACTTATCAGTACGTCTGATACGATACACCCTCTCTAAAGGCAATGCAAAAGAGTGAGTGAGTGAGTTTAGTGTTACGCCGCACTCAGCAATATTCCAGCTATATGGCGGCGGTCTGTAAATAATCCAGTTTGGACCAGACAATCCAGTGATCAACAGCATGACCATCGTACTGCGCATTTGGGATACGATGACATGTGTCAACCAAGTCAACGAGCCTGACCACCCGATCCCGTTAGTCGCCTCTTACGACAAGCATAGTCGCCTTTTGTGGCAAGCATGGGTTGCTAAAGACCTTTTCTACCCCGGACCTTCACGGGTCACAGGTTTGTAAATGCACACGACTTATGCCGATTATATCTGTCGGTCAACACGTGTTTTCAATAAGGGGTAAAACGTAATTATACTTAACGTCAGTTTATGTTCCACGAAGTTGTGATATGCAATATAATACATATACGATATGAAGAAGTTGCAATTGTTCTCTTTGGTGTTTATAACCTACACTAGTACGTATGGTATTTTGAGTTACAGATGCCATCTCCAAAATCTGACATATACTGCACAAATCTTGCACGGGATACATTCTGTGCTCAGTACTACAACACTGGACTCGGAACGTCCCGAGATGATTTTATTAATTAAAAGACAAAAATATATTTACTTGCTTGCATTTACGACCTTTGACTTCTTGTGATGGATGCGGTATTTCAGTAAGTAGAGTCCAAGCGGGTCGTGGTAAATCTGGAACGTCAGTTTCCTCTTCCAGGCGACCTTCAGCGAAGCCAGCACCTTCTGTCCCTCGGGAGTATTGGGCAGGTAGGCGGTGAATGTATCACCATGATACTGGGTTCCTGGTTTCGGATGTCCCTCCTGTTACACAAAATCATGTTTTTTGGTTGTTTGTTGATAGTTTGTTTGTTTATTGTTTGTATGTTTGTTTATCAGCAATATTAGAGCTATTTGGCGGCAGTATGTAAATAATCCAGAAGACCAGATACTCCAGTGGTCAACAGTATGAGCATCGATCTTTGCAATTGGGATACGATGAATGTCAAACAAGTCAGCGAGCCTGACGAAAGGATCCCGTTAATCGCCTATTACGACAAGGCTGGGTTGCTGATGATAAACTCCAACCCGGATCTTCACTGGTTCATGTTCACTTTTAACCTTGATCTATAGCATGAGTAAACAAGATGAGTGACTCACCGTTTGAATTCCGCCCAGAAATACATATTTTATCATAATGGTGTCATATTTCCTGTAGCCTGGTAGCCCGTCAGGGATCACTGTTGTAGTCATTTCTCCAGGCGGCATATTTCCGGTTTTGCACACGGGACATAACCATTGTTCCTTGACCACGAGGCAGGCTTTACAGATGGTATGACTACATTGAAGAGTGATAGCTGCCTTTCCTGTTAGACATTTCCTGCAAGTTTCACTTTCTAAAGCTTCCGCTTTCTGCTTTAGATATTGCAGAAGTTCCTTCCTTCCCAGCGACGCTGAAGCTGCATCGACTACTCTGTTCAACAGGGACATCAAACCATGGTTGACTGAAATAAAGAAAGGTTATAAAGCATTTCAACATTTTTGTTATACAGAAATTGTATCTAATGTTATTTGAAGTTGTGACGCATGTTGAACGTCTCCTAAACAATGGACTTCAACAAGTTTAAAAACATGAATATATATTTTACAGGTAATTATTTTTTATATTTCAGTGTTCACCTCTGTTAGCCTCGTCTTCTTGTAAATTGCTACACGCGTGCATTATAAGAGGTGAAAACTTTTCCATGACCATATGAAATCTCTGATAACAGGAGAGTCCATTCCGTCTATATTGCAAACCTGAGTTTTGTGAAACTGTGTTAATTTAAAAAAAAGCAAAAACTGTCATCAGGTTTTTGGAGCAATATATTCGGTCGTTTGACATCATTGAATTTATGCAAATGAATTATAACATCTCCAAACTAAAGGTTAGTTTTGTAAATTTACTTAATCAAATCAAAACCTGTAATGGAATCGGTTGTAATGAAAACAGTATAGTGTTGTAAAACAAACAAAAATGTGTAAAATGTCGATTTCAGGAAATTTTACAAAGTCCAGTCTGGACGTTATTTTAAACATTTCTTAAACGTTACCTTGAAATGGTAGTCATTGGTTAGAATACATATACAATTTTGATCACTTGTTTGTCAGACCAATATTTGCAAGTGGTTTGGGTTATGTTTGTTTTCCTCGGTCATTAACCTGACACACCCTGATATGCCCCGGCCGCGTCATACCAATAGAGGTTAAAATATGGTACTTGTTGGTCCCTGCCTGGCGCTCGGCATTAATGGGTACATCAAGGACTGGTCGGCTCGGGGTCAGTATAATGTATCCGTGTGGGGGTATTCATTCTTAACTGCGGCATGCTACCTCAGTGAGCTAGAACTATACAACCAGCTTCAGTCTGGGCTAGTACAAGTAGCCACACAAACACATGCATGTCGTCATATGAGCGAAATATTCTTAAGTGCGACTTTAAACCCTATATCAACTCAGCCTGATATGCCTGAAGTACGATTCAAACTGGTATTAACCTGATGTGTAATCTCCCTCTTACGGTTACAAAACGATGGGCGGAAATTGGGGAACACCCATTTCACCCTAAAATGTATACTTGTTATATATGATCGTGTAGTTATGTAGAATACATGTTAAGAATATTACTGCGAAGAAATGTTTGCTGGTCAGATGTTGTTTAACATCGCACTCAACAGTATTCCAGTTATATGGCGGCGGTCTGTAAATTATCGAGTCTGGACCAGACAATCCAGTGATCAACAGCATGAGCATCGATCTACGCAATTGGGATACAATGTCAACCAAGTCAGCGAGCCTGACCACCCGATCCCGTTAGTCGCCTCTTACGACAAGCATGGGTTACTGGAGACCATTTCAAATCAGGATCTTCATGGGTCGTCACAAAACTGTACTCTACTTCTTATTATATTTTATCATTATCATATTACCGGCATGTTGAGTAGAATCTGTTGTGGTCGTAACACATCCTACTTCTGAAAGCAGTGTTTCCAAAAGGGATCCAAGAAACGGAGTAAAGCTAACACCAGCCTCTTCGGTTTCTGGCTGGCACTGACCAAATGATTCCTCGAAGCCCTTCTTGATGGATGGGTACATCTGGAGCAACGCCACAACGTCACCCCTTTCCTTTGCCTGTTTAAAGTACAATATCTTCGACTCAATCAATGCTAAGGACGAATTCGTTGTTGCAATATTCTTTTCAGCCAGGGAAAACATATTCCTACTCTTTTCCATCGATTTCTCCATATATGTGACCCTCTGTTTTCTTTATGGCACATTCCAAACGGGCAAGGAATTGAGACGCGTTGTATTTTGCATCATCTGCTGACTGTTGAAGTTCTCGCTTACGTTTTTCCACGGCCTTTACTTCATTTCTCAGTCGTCCTGTGTGGGCTTGTAAATTCTGCATGGCTGTTTCAAGCTCCCGTGTTCGCTTCATGGCCACGTCCTGAAGGTTCTCCAATGTGTGGTCTTTGTGATCTAGGACTGTGCAAGAAAGGCAACATGCTGTGTCGTCAGTGATGCAGAAGAACTCCAATAGATGGCTCTTGTGTCGATGACAGTAATGACTCCTTGAACCTTGAGTCTGTTGTGGTAGCGAGTCGTGAAGAGGTGTGATGACGTGGTCACGTGTAAGCCTGTGGCGTCTATGTACAGACGTGCATTCACAGCAGAGATTTAGACAGCATTCCTGACAAGACGATTCAGCTGGTTTTCCATCTGGACAATCTTTGCAAAGTTCAGTTCCGCCATGCACCGTCTCGACACACTCCACGAGTTTATACCTGACACAGTCAATGGGCACTGAGTTTGCATTTCCTGATATCTTGTGTACCTGACGACATAAAGGACAGTTGATCTGACCTTTACCCTCCGTGTCCAGAAGTTGTTGGAGGCACTGGGTACAGATGGCATGGAGACAGGAGTGGAGGATGCGAGGACGTCTCTCCGACTGGTTGAAATGTTCCAAACACACAGGACATTCCAGAAACGTTTCTTTCAGATATGTAATGTCTATTTTTTCTCTCGGCTCAGACATACTGGAAACACTGCAAAAAATATCACATGTGTCGATAAACGGTGGCTAACGTTTTCCTGGTGTCAAAGTAAAAGTGACAAAATCCTTTCTACATCCGTAAGTGAGTGAGTTTAGTTTTACGCCGCTTTTGGGTGAGCGATTTGGGTTTTACGTCGCTTTTAGCAATATTCTATTCCAGAAATATCACGGCGGGGGACACCAGAAATGGGCTTCACACATTGTACCTAATGTGGAGTCGAACCCGGCTCGTCCGCGTGACGAGCGATCGCTTTAACCACTAGGCTACCCCACCGGCCACATCCATAAGACATATCTGCTATAAGGACAGTCGATAGTACAAGTCGGGATATATCATAAGTCAAGAATCACTATCAAAATATTAATAATATGAGGTAATACTGTAATCCTCAATATATAGTTGAAAGTGCATCTAACTTTGATAAAACAAAATCGTTTGACTGTTTTGTTTGCACTTTTATTCATTTTTAATTGCATTTTTTTTAATGAGTGAAAGAAGCCTATATATGGTGAAAGGTTTACAACGAAACATTTTCTGTATTGTTTGGTGAGCATTGGCTACATACATCTACAGCTCCATGATAAGCAGAATGAGTTAAAGAAAATAGTGGTGTTATATTGTAATGAATCGTACAGAAAATGTCCAACATCTGCCTTAATACACATATTAGCTCGTTTTGTATTACTGTAAGATGGCCTTGGGGGACAGAAAAGGTCCCTGTCATTCTACTTTCTTTAAATATATTTAATGTAAGTTGTTGTTATTCATAATAGATATTATATATTCATATATATATGATCACTTACGGTAACACGTTAACGTATATCCTTTGCTGGTCACAAACTCGAACACACACTCTCTGGATACATCCACTCAACACGATGATGTTGGATACATGAACTGTAAACGATGATGTTGAATGGTTATAAAAGGAAGGTATTTAGTCGCTTGCCTGGTCGGACAACACTTCCTGATGTGCCTGAGGAAGACATGACACACCACGCTGTATCAGATAAGCTGTCATAGATCAAGTGGCTGGGATGGACAGGAAAGGAAAACATAAACGTCCCGTGTGTCACCTCGGGCCTCCTCTAACACTATGGTGACGCATAAGTGAGTGAGTTAAGATTTTAAGTCACATCGGCATTATTTCAGCCACACCGTGACTAAAACTAATTTTTAATTCATGATAAATATATACTCTCCCAAAAAAGAAACGCATATAGGAATTTCAACTGTATTTTTATGTTTATTTTGAAACATCTTGTAGGCTTTATGAGTCAATGAAATATAGCGAAATTGCACACTGGGAATTCAGACTTATCCGTCTTTGGCACCAACTCAAGGAAAGTAAGTTTGAGTGTCACATGGAAGCGTGTGGTGGCGCTGAAGTCAATACCTCGTGTGACCACCGTGGGCATCCAGAACTGCACGGCATCGCCTCGGCATCGAACGAATAAGTCTCAGAATCTCGTGTTGCCCAATCGCAGCCCACTCTGCCTGTAGTGCCTGTGCGAGTTGCTGAAGTGTCTGGGGCTGAGGGTTACGGCGTCGCACCCGTCTGTCCAGGGCATCCCACAGATGTTCGATCGGGTTTAAGTCCGGTGATCTTGAGGGCCAGGGGAGCACATTGATGTTGTGGTTCTGGAGAAAGTCTCTAGTGTGACGTGCTGTGTGGGGCCTGGCATTGTCCTGTTGAAACAACTCCCTCTGGCGGTCAATGATTGGAAGGAGGTGTGGGCGTAGGATTTCTTCACAGTACCGTTGAGCTGTCAGGTTGCCCTTGATCATCACCAAATCACTTCTCCTACGGCAGGTGATACTCCCCCCACATCATAACACTGCCCCGGCCGAATCTGTCCACCTGGGGAACGCAGGCGTCGGCGAAACGTTCACGTCCACGTCTGTACACCCACATTCTTCCATCGCTTCGTTCCAATAGAAATCGTGATTCATCACTGAACCAGATTCTACGCCAATTCGGTAGGTTCCAGGCCTGAACGTTGGTGCAGCATTGAACTCGATGTCGACGATGTTGTTGTCGAAGCACATGGCCAAAATAAGGTCTTCTGGCACGTAAACCAGCCTCTCTCAACCTGTTCCTGACGGACTGTGCAGAAAGCCTCCTCAATCCGGGTATTTGTCGAGCGGTACTGGTCGCCGTAGCTGTTTGATGACGCAGGTGATGTACCCGGATGTAGCGATCCTGCGCCGCCGCTCGAGGTTGCCCACTACGAGGGGCATCTGCTACCGCATTCTGTCGGCGATATCTCTCCCAGAGCCGTGAAAAGGTGCTTTGGTGAACATTCATGCGTCGGGCAACTGCACGTTGAGACTGGCCTGCTTCAAGCAAACCAATGGCGATATGACGGTTGGCTTCAATTAGACGTGGCATTTTGCGTTCGTCAACAATATTCCAAATACAGCGATCAACCTTTTATACCAATCATTGAGACTATCTGATCCCCAACTTTCACGTGCATTGCATGTGAATTGTGTATTCAGTGACACTACACGCCGAAATTGAAAATCATGCTGTTAAATACGGGTAATTTACGGATGGTGCGTTTTGTTGTGATGTTTCAATTTTTACATAAACACCATAGGACTCATAAACAGAGCAAAACCTTTTGTAAACTGAATCACGTTTTAATTCATTGCTACATGAAATTGCTATTTTCATGATGCGTTTTTTTCGGATAGTATATATAATGTATAATGTATGTTATATGACCTAGGAATATCTAACTATATCTCATATTTCAAGTAATCTGGCTGTATGTTTCAACACACTGATTTATCAACAGCAGCCTACACTGTGTCGCCGTACGCCAAGAATCGAGATATGGTATGACAACCAGCATGGGAGAGTGCTTGGTGTCGGTGCTTGAGTAGTTTTTTACGTTACATCACGGCGTGTCGGTTTGACGTTAGGGATTCAATCATTCATAGATTTGGACAAGAAATTGAAGCCAGAATCTTTCAGTAGCTTTTTGACTGAACCACTTTTTCATAATCCCAATATTAAGATTAACAGAAAACCTGTTTTCCTTAAGCATTGGTATGAAAAAGGGGTTATACAGGTAATAGACATTGTTAATGAGGAACATAATTTTTTAACTTTGAAGAATTGATAAAAAATGTATGGTGTCCATTTTTCCTTTTTAGAATTTTATGGGATTGTCAACAGTGTTAAAAAGAATTTAAACTCTCTTAAAGTAGATACATTCTCAAATGCTTCAGTGGAACATTTCCGTTGTGTTATTAAAAGATATGTAGTGTTGAGAAAGGTTCTGAAAATGTATATATTTCCTTATTATCTTCTGATATTAAAACTAAAGGTCAGGAAAGTGGGAACTTCAGTTTCCAAAACTGGTTTGGAGTGAAGTGTGTTCAAAGTTATACAGTACAACTCAGGAAGTAAAACTTCGCTGGTTTCAGTATAGAATAATTAATCGAATATTAGACAAATAACACTTTTTTGTTTAAACTTAATTATGCTCAGAATGATCTTTGTGTTTTTCGTAATGAGCAAAAGGAAACTATTAGCCACTTCTTATGGGAATGTGATGTTATTAAGAATTTTGGGAATGAATTTATCCAATGGTTTGGCAAATGTGATCATGTCTCCAACAAGCAACTATCCACAGAGAAGGGAAAATGTGGTTACTGACAAGATATTTGACTTTCTTTTGCTCATTGCAAAGTTGTTCCTTTATAGGTGCAAATTCCTAAATGTAAAACCACTTTTTACTCCTTTTAAAAAAGAAGCTGCATACAGATATACACTCGAGAGAGCAATAGCGTTTAAAGATAGTAATCAAGACAAGTTTTATAAAGATTGGATGCTTTATCACAAGCTTTTTGAGAGCGAAGCAGTCTAGTGTGATTGAATTAATTGCGTTTGTAATATGTTTAATTTTTTTAATTTTTTTAAAACTTGTCCTGTCTCGCGTTCTATGCTCTCTCTCTTGTGTTCAGCGGCTGGGTAGTGGTGGGCTGTGGCTGGGGGTTTTGGCCTCTGTGGTGCCGCTCGCCCTGGCGCGTCCCTGCTGCTCCTGTGTCTGGGCGGTCTGGTGACTCCTGGGGTGCGTGCAGGGTTGGCGGGGGGTGTTCGGGCGGAGGGTGCGCGAGTTTTTGTTTGTTCTTGTATTTT